AGATAAGATAAATCTTTATTATACAAACGCACAGGAATCCCTGGTTCTTCTACATGGGTCCAAAGGAAGGGAGTGGGGATAGGGGGAGATATAAATCTATAGTCCAGAAGCTGGCACATGGTTTGATGTTTCATCGCACGCACACACACACACACACACTTGCGAACAAAGACAGACGGAGGAATTACATTTGAGCATGTGTGTGTGTGTTTGTATGTGTGCATGTGCACACGCGTTCGCTCATTACAGCACATTTACTCACCCATCTCGGTGGAGGTGGTCACCGTCTCGTACTTGCTGGGGCCCTGTCCCTTAGAGTTGAAGGCACGGATTGTGATCACGTACTCGGACGACGGTTCTGGAACAAGAAATATCGTATCACATCACACGTACAGAAAATTTACCAAATCAGATTCAGACTCACTATTTGTGAGGCAGAGGGATAGAATCAGGCTCTTGGCAATTTTGGGGCATATTGAGTTAATTGGTATCATCTTAAAGCTTGTTCATTTGTCTTGCTTGCAATGAAAAAATTACCCATCCATCTTCAATAGAAGTGGAGATATTTTGGATTGAAAGATGGGGGGGGGGGGGGGTTATGAGGTAAAATTAGCGAGAAAATGGCCGCCAAAGCTTGGTAAATTCCAAAGCTGGAGAGTCCATGAACACTGTAAATTTATATTTTGTGCCTTTAATCAACGTTTTTCGGTGAAATCCTCAAAAGGTGTTAGTAAATGGACATAAAAGGTGTTGAGCCAAAAAACAAAAATTTGATAAAAATTGCTAAGCAGGGAGAAAACTGCTGTTTTCTTAGATTTCATTATTTTGACGTGAGCCTGATTCCACCACGCTGCCTAACATTTTAGATTGGAAACTGTTTAACAACAGACGAACCAAGCAAGTAAAGGCCATATACCTATACTACATATTTCCAGACAGCAATAATTAAATAGGACGTAGAACTCATTTGCGAAGGAGTTGAAATGTTTGGCGATATAAAAAAAGGGCTAAACGAGCAGAAATAGAGACTCGACTTCCATTAAATAAGCATAAATCAAACGGAATCAGAATTCCGAAATTTTTCAATCTCGTAATGGAAGTGCGGAGACATGACAAAATCAGACTTACATAAGTTTCCAATTACATTCTTAGTTTTAGTTTTAGTAGAAGTTTTATGGCGCTCGCAACTGCATAAGGTCATATGAGCGCCAGAAGATTAGAGGTGTTACAAGAGAGTAACAAACATACATAAAAAAGAAGAAAGGGAGATAAGGACGATAGATGTTTGATAGGAAAGAAGAAGCAAACCACACCAGAGCACCCGCCAACCACCCACTCAATTACATTCGATGCAACTAAATCTGACAAAAACCAGGCTTATGAAAGTTCTCAAAATTACACTGACAATTTTCAAACATGATTTCAAAGTTGTCATTTAAAGAAAAGAGATACTTGAAACCACTTTTCTGGGATGGATGTACAGAAGAGAGGGAAGACGTGGAGTGACATCAAGCGACTGGCCCAGGATAGGGAAAGGTGGCCAGGATGAGAAAGGCAATGACGATGATGGCTTTTCTAGGGGGAATACTTAATGCAGTCCACGCTCACCCACAGTTTTTAGTTAGTTTTAGTAGAGGTTTTACGGCGCTCGCAACTGCATAAGGTCATGTAAGCGCCAGAAGATTAGAGGTGCTACAAGAGAGTAACAAACATACATAAAAAAGAAGAAAGGGAGATAAGGACGATAGATGTTTGATAGGAAAGAAGAAGCAAACCACACCAGAGCACCCGCCAACCACCCACTGTCGATTTTTGGCCAGTATTCCCATTCATGGATGGCAAAAAGTAACTCATTTTGTCAGCACGCTTCACAAATGACAAACCGAACCCCGACAAAAGCCAGACTTACGCAGGTTCTCAATGACGTAGCGGTGCGTGTTGGTGTCCAACGTATGCTTGAACACATCCGCCATGCCTTTGCCGTAGCCCAGCACGTAGCCTCGAACCAGGACCTTGGAGTGTGGAGGCGGGGGCGCCCACGACACCACGATGGAGTTGGCCTTGGGCTGGGCGATCAAGTGGGCGGGTCGAGGGGGGACCCGCGACTCTGAAACAGGAAAAGACGGTGGGATCTGAACAATCTTCCTTTGTTTTTTGCCTTAAATCATTTTTTCCATTATTGTTGAGTAAAGAGGAGCACATCGGTACAATAACTTACATAGAGCTGAGGAAAAAGTGAGACACGATGGACCGAAACAACAGAACAGAAGTAAAGGAGTAGGACCCACCGCCAACCACCCACACCATGGCATGGGGGCTGAAGGACACAGGCTCAAAGACGACAGGATTGATGAAGAAGAAGAAGAAGAAGAAGGAGAAGGAGAAGGAGAAGGAAAAGGAGAAGGAGAAGGAGAAGGAGAAGGAGAAGGAGAAGGAGAAGAAGAAGAAAAAGAAGAAGAAGAAGAAGAAGAAGAAGTGAAAGAAATAAAACGAGAAGAAG